TATAGGGGCCGAATACCGGAAAAAAGGCCTCTATATAGTAGGCCTATAGCTTCGAGTCGAGGCCTATAAGGAATATACTATACGTACGTAGTGCTATAAATGCCTTTCCTTCGGCTATAACCCCCGGACCTGCCGGCAGCTTATTAGGTGTGCCTTCTGCCCGGAAAAGCACCTAACTAGGGATTATAGCTACCCTAGCTATAAGGCTAGCTAAGGGTGCTCTTACTTTAAGGCCTAATACTATAACTATAAGGGAGAACACCTTACGACTAATAAGGTATAATACGGAGTTTATAAGGGAATAACTAATGCCTAATAGCCTTAGCCCCCTTACGCTTATAGGGCCCCCGAAGCCCCCTAGGCCCCCTAGGCCTAACTACGACCCTATTAGTATTATATAGCATAATACTAATAGGTAGGAAATAGCGAACCTATCGATCCTAGAGTAGGCCCTAAAAATAAGAGCGGACCTTATCTTATTATAAGAGCCTTACTTCTATAAGATCGATAATAGCTATATCCCTATATAGCATCCGGCCTATAACGTTATAACCCCTATCCCCTCTACCGACTTTCCTAAGCTCGATAGGAGGCCTAGGATTATAGCTTATAAGAGGAAGGAAGCCTAGATAGAAGCTAGCCCTAGCTTCGACCTCTTTTGCGATCCCGATATATAGGCTATAAGGGTAGAAGGCGCCGAGCCGTTTACCCTTATTAACCTATATAACGAAAAAGAGGCTAAAGGGGCCCTAGCTAGCTAAGGCCGGCAAGGGCCCCTTACGATAGAAAGGCTGCTACTAACAGCCTAGCTCCTATAGCAGCCCTTTCTATTAGTAGGGGACTTTAACCTATACTACCCCCGGTAGAACCTGTCTACGGAATCCTCTAAGGCCCGTAAGGTAGAAGCCCTTATTAGCTATCTCGACCGCTATAAGGCCTCCTTACTAACGGACCTTACGGTAGCTATAGAAGGCACCTACTAAAGGGAAGGGGCTTAAAAGGGACCTCGGTTATAGACCTTGCTTTCTATAGCCCCTTTAAGCAACTAACCTAGGCTAACTTCCGCTTCCTAGAGGCTACGGGCTTAGACTATAAGCCTATAGCCTTCGAAGCTAGCTTAAGGGGCCCTAATAGGCCCCTACTAGCTAGGCCTACTACCTATAACTATAGGAAAGTAGACTAGAAGGCCTTCTCGGAACACCTAGCTAAGAAGGAATAAGACCTCCTTATAGCTATAGAGAGGGCTATAAAACGAGACGACTTAGAGGGGATAGCCTCCCTTCTAATAAGAACCCTTATAGAGGCCTCTAACGCAGCGATACTAAAAAAGAGGCCCTATAAGGGATCTAAACCCTAGTAGACCGACGAGCTAACCTCCCTTTAGAAAGCCCTAAGCCTAGCCTAACGGGCTTATAGGCTAGCCTAGGATAAGGAGAGCTAGAAGAGCTTTATAGAGGCCCGAAATAGCTTTAAGTACGCTATTAGGGCTACTAAAGAGCAATACTAAGAGAGCTTCCTAGTAGAAGTAGTAGGAAAGGACGTCTTTACGGCCTTTTCTTATACTAAGGCTAAAGCTAACCCTACCCTTCTAAGTATCTTATATATAAAAGAAGGGATAAAGGTAAAAGCTAATACCTTTACGGAAAAATACGAGGCCTTCCTAACGACCCTTTTTCCGACCCTGGACCCTAGCCCTAGCCCCCCTAGCCCCCCCTAGAGCCTAGAAAAAGAAGAGCCCCCGGGCCTTATAGGCAGTAAGGGCACGGCTAAGTAGGACTAGTAAGAGCTAAAGGACCCCGAGATTAGAAGGGCTATCGTTAGCTCTTCTAATAAGAAAGCCCCCGGCCCGGACTCCCTTAGCTTCCTTCCTATCTAATACGTATATAAGGTTATTCCTACGGTCTTTAATAGGGCCTATAAAGCCCTATTTAACTAAAGATACTACCTTAAGGCGTAGAAGGAAGCTATAGGAATTATACTCCCTAAGCAAAATAAGCTAGACTATACTATCCCTAAAGCCTATAGGGTTATAAGTCTACTTAACTACTTAGGGAAGGTCCTCGAAAAGCTATACGCTACCCGGCTAAGCTACTTAGCTAATACGGCCGGGCTTCTAAACCCTACGCAGCTAAGGGGACGAAAATAGCGGTTAGCTATCGATATAGCCTTCCTCCTTCTATACTACGTTTAAAAGAAGTAGGAGTCTAATAAGAAGGCTATTACTAGCACCCTCTTATTAGATATAAAAGGCGCCTTTAACTTCGTATCGAAGGAATAGCTTATAAGGGTCCTAAGGGAATTAAACCTCCCTAAGGCCCTTATAAGCTAGGTAGACTACTTCCTTACCGAAAGGAAGATCTAGCTAGCCTTCGAGGGGCAAACCTAGCCCCTAACGGACCTAGTAATAGGGGTACCTTAAGGGTCCCCTATTAGCCCTATCCTATTCCTCTTATACGTAAGGGGGATACTAGCGGCTAAGGGGTACTAGCTATCCTATATAGACGATTTTAGCATCTCTATAACGTCGACCTCGGCTAAGAAGAACGTCCGGTAGCTAGAAGCTATAGCTGCTAACCTATTTAAATAAGCTAAGGACTAAGGGGTCTATTTCGACCCCTTTAAGACGGAACTTATTTACTTTAGTAGGCAAAGGTAGCCTATTTTAGAGGGTATAAAGGTAGGAGGCCTATTTTTTAAAGTAAAGCCCTTAGTACGGTAGCTAGGGGTCTTCTTTAACTCTAAGCTCCTATTTAAATAATATATTAAAAAGAAGGTAGCCTCCGTATAAGCTGCCTTTAAAGGGCTATCCCGCTTAGTCTCTATATAAAGAGGCCTATTATTTAGAGCTTCGAGGCAGCTCTACTAGGCCTACGTAACCTCGATAATAGACTATAGGGCCTAGCTTTAGTATAAGGGGCCTAAGACCCCTAGGAGCCTAATAAAGCCCTTCTAAAGGCTTTAAAACTAAGCCCTCCTAAAAGTCCTAGGGGCCTTTAAAGGATCCCCTATTAGGGCCCTAGAAGCCGAAGCAGCCCTCTTACTACTAAAGGTACGGTTTAAAAAGGCATGCCTCTCTTATACCCTTCGAACCCTATACCTCCTACTAAATCACCCTATAAGGTAGGCTTATAACCTAGCTATACGAAACGACCTCGCCGACTTAGGCTTTAACCTAAGAGCCCTAAGCTATATTAGGCCCTATATATAACTCTTCCGCCTCCTTAAAGGCCTAGTAGCTATTATAGGGCCTAACTATAGCTTAGAAAGAAGGAAAGCTAGCTAGGAGCCCCTATAGGCTCTAGAGCCTAAGGCCTTTATTACGATAATAAAGGCCCCTAAGCCTCTAGCTAAGAAGTAGCACTAACGCCTCTTAGCTAACCTAGCTAGCCTAGAAGACTTCGGGCTACGGCCCTTAGTCTTCTATACCGACGGCTCTAAGGGGTGCCTTAAGGGGTCCCCTATAGAGACTAACGCCTACTCCTTTTACGAGATAGGCCTAGAAAATAGGCCTAGTAAGGCGTACTACGAGAACCTAGGGCCCTCTATTAAAGTAGCCGACGTAGAGCTATTCGCGATACTAAGGGTCCTAGAGGACCTAGCTAAGAGGCCTCGGCCTCTAAGGTTTAGCCCCCTTAACCCCCTTATAGAGGCTTATATCTTTATAGATAGCTAAGCCGCTATACGAAAGGCTAAAGGCTACTTAGACCTAGCTATACGTATTAGAAGGCTCTTAATAAACCTAGAGGCCTTCTATAATATACGGCTATACTAGTGCCCTAGCTACCTAGGGATCTTCGGTAACGAGCTAGCCGACTAGCTAGCTAAGAGAGGCCTAGGGGCCCCTATATAAGGGACCCCTATAGTCTTTATTAGCTACCTATAAAGAAAGGTCCGATAAGCTACTAAGGACTACTAAAAGGGCCTCTAGGCTACTAAGGCAGCTAAAGGCCCTAAGGCTAAAGGCTTAGGTAAGCACTATACGTCTATTCGAAAGACCCCCCGCCTAGCCTTTAGCCCGGAAAAGGACCTTATAGAAAGGCCTAGGCCGACCCTTTCGGCCTACTACTAACTTCTCCTCGGGGCCGGCTTCCTATTATCCTTCTTAAAAAGGGTTAATAAGGTAGGCTAAGACGACTACCGCTATAGCTAAGGAAGGTATACGGCTAAGCACCTTATCCTAAGGTACCCGAACTATAAGAGGGAAAGAGAGGTCCTATACCGGGCCTCGAAGGGATAGAAGGAGGCCCTTAGCCTACCTTTTCTCTATAGTACTAAGGAAGGAAGGGAAGCCCTTCTAACCTTCTTAGCTAAAATAGAGATAGGAACGGCTAAGTAGCTCGAAAAAGAGTAACCTAAGGGCCCTAGGGCCCTTAGGGGGGAAAAACACCGCGTAGGAGGAACTAGATTAACCTTTCCTTTATCTCTGCTTTTATAGCTACCCTTTCCCTAATTAGTTATAAGCCCCCGGGCTCTATAGCTAGCTAGGGCTACTAATAGGGGCCTAGGCCCCTATTAGCCTCGCTATAGCCCTAGAGGCTATATACGAGTAATAATATAAAAAAAAAAAAGCTTAAAAAAGAGTAACCTAGGGGCCCTAGGGCCCTTAGGGGGGAAAAACACCGCGTAAGAGGAACTAGATTAACCTTTCCTTTATCTTTGCCTTTATAGCTACCCTTTCCCTAATTAGTTATAAGCCCCCGGGCTCTATAGCTAGCTAGGACTGCTAATAGGGGCCTAGGCCCCTATTAGCCTCGCTATAGCCCTAGAGGCTATATACGAGTAATAATAAAAAAAAAATTAGCGCGGTATAAATAAGTAGGGTAGGATAGTATTAGTATATATCTTAAAAATAAAGCTTTTATATAAATAGTAATATATCTTTATATAAATAGTAATACTTATTTAATATAATAGGATATCTCTAAGAACTATAAAACTAAGCTATGCTTACGATATATATAGTTTTAATAATAACAATAATAATAATAATAATAAGTAAATTAATAGCTACTTTTATTAATACTGCCCTTTGCTGCCTGCTGGACCTGGACTTCCCCACTAGGCATTCCAAAGTAGGCCGCGACCGGTTTTTGTGCTCCGGGCCCCTTGCCTAGTATGGCGGCCTGCTCTCCGTTAAAGCCGTGGAACAGCCCGATTTCTATAACACCCGGGATCTTTAGCAGCCTGTCCGCCAACAAGTTAATCTCCCATAATCCACCCTCGCCCTGGCCTTCCACATTGGCGGTTAGGTCCTTAGGTAACAGGAGTGGCGGGAACGGGGCGTCAATGATCCACATGCCATTGTCGGTCACGCACTCGCCGGCTTTGTTGGGCAGCCCGGATCGGATGGCTGCGTTTGGGGAGCCCATGGCCTGGAGGCGGGTGAGCACGTCAGGGGCAGCAATGGGCAGAACCTCGATGGGGATCGCCTTCCACTTTATACACAGTCGCGGAGACTGCTTGCGAGAGTCTGTCCATATGTGAGCCAAGCCCTCGATGCCGAAGATGCGGTTTAGTGTAGTCAAATCTTACCGGCCACGGCCACAAACTTGCTTGCCGATATCGCCACTAGCTTCTCCTGGAACAAGCATGCGCCGCCTCCCTTGATCAAATTGAGATCCTCGTCGACCTCGTCGGCGCCATCAAAGGCGACATCCAAGGCAACGGGCCTGCCGCCGACGACTGGGCGCTCATCCAGGTTGCATAGAGCCAATCCAGCGTGTCGAATAAGTCCCTTAGACTGGCTTCCGGTAGGGATAAAGGTCATGCCGCTATAGAAGGCGGGGCCCTTGGCGACGATAGCCTCAACGACGTACACGACGGTGCTGCCGGAGCCGATGCCGACGTACTTAGAGGACGAGGATAGATGCTCGTCGACGGCCTGGAAAGCAGCGAGCCTCTTTGCAGACTCAATCAGGTCTGCGGCAGACATGGCCCGTTGTGGTAAGCTCCCAACCGTGGGAGTGAAGGCCGTGGGGAACTGTCTAGAAAGGCGGCGGGGATGAGGAAGACCTAGGCTGAGCGGATGATGCCGTCGAGCTGATGTGTAAATTAATGACACCACAGGACGACGAGTTAGCCTAAGAATATTCCCGATACGCGACCGATTAGTCTAGTAAGACAGTGCAGGCAGGGCTCAATTCGACGAAATAACGTATCTTTAAGCCTCGAGCCCGAATATATGGAGATTACGTAAGTAACCTACGCTTAGCTCGCTGCTCGTAGGTGCGAATAGCTTTACTTTGCGATGCATACGATGTATGCGATAAAGGGTCTGCTAGGTAGGCGCGGGGAATATGCGCACCTAATTATGCGGTATCGGCGCTGCGCCTTAACTAGCCATACTAGCCTACTTTTTAATTGCTAGTTAGCTAAATGTGATTGCTGGTTAATATAGGCCTATTTATCTTTATTTTCTCTTTCCTAAAATAAACCTTTAGCCTAAGCCACCTAGCCGTAACTACCATAGTTTTATGCTCTGCTTTTTCTTTTATTAAATAAAACTTAGGCCTGGTCCGCCCAACCGGAGTTACTACTATTTTACGTCGTTGTTTTCTCTTTCCCATAACAACCCTACAGCCTAAACCGCTATGTTTTCTCCGCCGTGCGTAAACCTTAACGTTACGTACCAAGCTCACGCTTAAACTCTGAAATGTGACCCATGCCCTTATTAACATCCTGACATTAGATTTCTTTGATTTCTTCCTGATTGCGTGCGCTCTTTCATATTATAAAAGCTCTGACACCTCTATAGATTCTCGCTCACGAGCTCGTCACCTCTAGGAGCATAGCATTTCGCTGGCATAGCTTTTCTCTAGCATAGGATTTCGCCAGAATAGCATTCTATCTTCGAACTCGTTACCTCTAGTCGTATATAGGAATTCAACAACTATACTTAACGCGTACTAACATAGTTTTCATATTTAGGTGTTCTTTCGTTCATCATGGCCTCTCCGAGCAAGAGTGGGAACGCAAGTCTGAAAGATTTGTTCTCTGACTTAGATATCGAACCTGCCTCCTCGTCCACCCCCACACCCCCCAGTCCCGTGAAACGAGCCAAAATGAGACAGAGCCTACGCGAAACGATTTCGAAGGGCTGGCCGCCCATGCGACTTACAACTAAACAACTTTCGATGACCATTCATGCCGACGATATTTACCGCCAATATTCTCAAGATCAAGACCCGCGTAAGCTTTTCGATAAGGCAAACGATTGGATTTCAAAGATATCAGCCACCGCGCTCGACAAGGACCAGCAAGAAGTCGTCAACAATGAGATTCACGAGACGATGAGCCGGGCTATCTTTGGCAGCAACATGATTGAGCGCGCTGGGCTTGGCTGGGACATCACCGTCCAGCTCTGTCGCAAAGTTTTCGCAGGAGAGGATATAGGGCAGATCTCCGAGCGAGATGCTACCTACCAAGAATCACTCCTAAAGCTTTACAAACAACAGTTCGACCTCAAGGACGTACCCGCCCATTTCGTCTTACGTGGTCGAAATGAAATTGTTCAGCATGCGAAAGCTTTCCAACACCTCATCCACGCCTTCGTTGCCGAGAAGCAAGATCTATCCGAGGATCTTATTAAAGACACGCATCGAATTTTAACGAAAGGAGTTCCTATTTTCTAAGACGGATCCCCAGTCGTTGCACCTAAAGAATACGGGGGGATCTATAGAACTGTGATTGTCGGCGAAGGCTCCACTAACTTCACTGTCCCGAAATTCGTTCCGGCCAAGATGAGGGAGATGTGCGAAAGTCTCAAGCAAGAATTGACCGCTGCTGAGGAGAGGAGAACGATCGATCCGTTCTCTATCGCCGCAAAGTATTCGTTAATGTTCGTGGAGATCCGTCCGTTTTAGGATGGAAATGGAAGGATGTGAAGGATGATACTAAATACGATCCTCTGTCGCTACGCGGGAGTGATTGTCCCAATCGGCGAGCTCGGGGAGGAGAGGCATAAGTATATGGGCGTTCAAGAAACGTGCGAGTCTAGAAATGGAGGGCCACGGCGAGTACGCGACCTTTGTCCTTAAAAGAGCTGTTACTCGCCTTCGCGAGATTAAGAAGAAGGTAGCGGGGAAGACCAGATCCCGCGGGACAAGGCACGTCGAAGTAGGATTTCTTTTAGGGGATTATTGTCACGACCTAACGAGGGTCTTAAAGACCTAGCAAGGGTCCTAGTAGGCCATAGACTAATATATAGCTCGTAAGTAGAGGCTTAAGAGTATAGTAGAAGAAATAAGGGCATAGAAAGGTAAATATAGTAATCTATATCTTAGTCTATATAACGACCGGTATTATTCCTAAGGAATAAACCTATTAAGGGTTTTATATTAATAGATATAATAGGGCGTAGTCTAAGTAATAATAAGTATATTACGTTAGTAATAAGTTAGAAGTTATAGACTATAAACTATAACTAGGTAATTAAGTAATTAGAATTAAAGATAAGATTATAATAGAGATCGTAATAATTATAATATTAAAAGCTAGAGAGCTATCTATTTAAAGGAGTAAAAGTAGGTAGCTATATATACTTATAGAGACTATCCTTAAATTATAGGCCTAGCTATAATCCCTAATAATAGATCGTATAGAGCGCGGTAATCTCGTTAATCTTAGATTACTTAGATCTTTACGACCCCCTCGATCCTATATCTATTAGATAGTCGTACTAACTATTTATCTATTAGACCGTATTATATACTTAACGCGGTCGACTATTAGCGGCCTAGTAGCCGTAGTTATAATATAATATCTCTCCTCCTTTTAGTCTTATCTATAAGACTTACTATAGCTACCTTAGCCGCTATATATAAATATACCCTTATTAGGTTATATATAAGTATATTATTCCTTGTTTTTTTATCTTTTTAGGATATACTATTAATAGTATATTTAGTTATATATTATTTTATTATTAAGATTACGCTAGGGACCTAGCTAGAGGTATCTAGAACTTTAATATTAAATAGGAGGGAAAAACTAAAGTGCCTAAGGGAAAACCCTCCCCTCTTTTAGTATAGGTCCGCCTCGAACGAGGTCGTAGTAGTAGTATATAGGAAATTTACGCTAGCTGCCGCGGGCTCCTCCCGCGAAATCGCGTCTTAGCGCGGGCCCTCTCGGGCTATAGCCGCTACTATCCCGAGCGGCCGCGGCCCGGGCTCGCTAGCCCGGGCCTAGGGTTATAGGCAATAGTCTCTCTCTAGGGGCCCGACTCGCGGGCGCCTCTATTTACCCTAGCTCCCGCGTCGTAGCCGCGTGGCCGCGGTTACGTCGGCTTATCGGTCCGTTAGTTAGTAGGGTAGGTAATATCCGGTTACCGGGCCGGGCGCTAGTATAGGTCGCTCCTAGGTAGGGCCGGCTAATCGAAATTTAGTCGGCCGGCTCCGCTAATCGTAAATTAGTTCCCGTCCGGCTACGCGACTTCCCGATCGGGGGCGCGGCGGCCTATATTTACCCTCTATCTTATAGTTACTAATTACGCGCGCCCGGCTCGCGCCTATATATACCTGCCCTCCCCCCCTAGTTCTATACGTGCCTCTTTCTATCTCTCTATTATCTATCTCTTTTATAGGCCTAACTACTACCTCGCCCGCCTCGTTTCTATAACTCTAGGTCTCCTTAATACCGTATCTAGTTCGCTCGTTATCGCGTTATAATATTTAACTAAGAAGCTAACTCGGGTAGTAGCGGCTTGCCTCCTTTAAAACCCCCTCCTTATAAGAAAGTCGCTATAGTAGCGGGATCGGAGCGCTTTATCCTATATTTTACGTATATCGGGCGTCTTATTAGTAAGCTTACCTATAAGTCCTTCGCTGGCTATTAGAACTAGTCTTATATATATTAATCCCGGCTTTATCTTAGGTCGGTCTTACCTTTAATATTTTTACTAACTTTAATAGCTATAAAGGCTAAAGCGTATATCGCTTACGCTAACTCTAACTAGTTTTATTACCGAGTAAGTAACCCTTTCCCGCTATAGTACTATCTAAGTTCGGTATTAATCTAAGTTCTAGATTACCTCTAAAGGCGAGGAGGCCGCTAGTGCCCTCTACTAAGTATAGTCCGAGGTTAATAGCCCTTCCCTTATTAAGGGTTTAGTATAAGAGCGCCTTTATTATACTATTTTAGAAACTTATATTCGCGCTAGTTAGAAGGCCCCCGCTATTAAGGGCAAGGGCGCGTTAAGCGAGTCCGCCCTTAGTTTAGCTACGGTTACTAAGAATATAGAGAGAGACGCTCGCGTCGGCCTTTACCCGTTTTATAGATAATACCCGCTATATATATAAGTCCCTAGAGAAGCACCTAAGTAAGTTTAGCGACGCTATTAAGACCCTAGCCTAGGTCGGGCCTAAGTCGCTCTTAGTTACCTAAAAGACTCTTATAGCGGTTAACGATCTTACTAACTATTTATATCCTATTATTAGCGATAGCCTTAATATAGAGGATAGCGGCTTTAATCTTACTAGTCTTACTAGGCCTATTCTAGCCTTAATCCCTATCGATAAAGGGAAGGGTAAAGGTAAGGGTAAGGCGGTAGCCGCGTCTAAGGCCCTATCTAAGGCTAAGGCTAAGGTATCTATGCCCGCGGCCGTCGCGGAGCTAGCTCGGGAGCTAACCGCGTCTCCTTCTAACGCCGAGCTATAGCCCGGTAGTTCTCCTAGCGCCGAGCCCGCCCTAAAGCGTCCCTATCTTATATCGCCTACCGATCTTACTAACGCTCCTAACTTCGTTTAATAGCGTCTTTATAGCTATCGCGGTTTAGTCCTAGCTAAGATTATTACTAGTCTTAACCTCGATTAGATCTATAGTTATAGTATAGGCTATAGCGAACGCCTCTATGCCGCCGCTAATATAGGTCCTACCTTAGTAAAGACCCTAGTCGTTACTTTATCTCGTAAGCTAGCCGTCTAAGCTAGCTTTAGTTCGGGTTTAGGGTTAGGTCTATTCGGTCGTCGTTAGGGTTCTTATAGCGGTAGTAGTCCCTATACTCCTCGTAAGCCTTAGGTTACTCCCTCCTATACTCCGCGTACTACCTTAAAGGGGTCTTGTTATTCCCGCCGCGATAATAAGGTAAACGTTACTACTAACGAGCTAGGCTAGGGTTATAGTTTAAGGGGGGCTAGTTATCGGCTCTATCTTAGTTTAGTTTTAAGTTAGGTCTTATTCGGTTATAGTCTTTCGGTAATAGGTCTTATTCTATAGCTATTAAGGTCGGTTTAGTTAGGTTATATTAGTTCTATTCGGTCTATAGTTTAATCGGCGAGGTTTACGCTTAGTCTATCTAGGTCTAGTTCGGTTAAAGCTATAGTCCTATAATTATAAGTCCTCTCCCTTTCTAGGTCGCCCTAGTAAGGGAGGTAGTTAACTAAGGTAGTCCTAGTTAGGGCCGCTCCGTCCCTAGCGTAACCTTAGTTTTATTATCCGGTATATCTACGTATAGCCTCCGAGCTAGGTCGAACTAGCGGAGCCTACCTAAGCAAAGGAACTATTACGCTAGCGGCGCTATAGTCCTTTTCCCTTAAAGGCCCGCTCTTATATTACCTACGTCCTAGGCCCGTATTAAAAGGGACTCCCTTACCTTTACTATTAATAGATAGTCGATTATTATATAGTAGATAGTATCCTATCTTTATCTATAGGTATATATTAGCGAAACTACGCTAAGGACCTATTAGTTAAAGAGGAAGTCGTTAAGCCCGATCTTTCCTATACGTATCTAGGTAATTACTATACTAATATACTTAGGGAGGCCCTTATAACGGTCTAATATTATCGCTTTATTAAACTAAGGTAGGAAGTCGGCGAGGTAAAGGGTAGTTTAGTATTATTAGATCGCGTCTTCCCTAGCGTTCTATTAGGCGGCCTATTCCTCGTTTAGCCTTTCGAGCGACTTAGCTTTATCTAGGAGGTCGTTTATTCCTATCTAGCTCTAGACCCCCCTTATCTCCTCCGCGAGGGGGGGTCTACCTAGAGGTAGTACTGCTAGGGGTCTGCCTTCTCTTTAGCGTCGCCTCCTTTTAAGTATACCCGCGACCGCGTTAAACGCGCGTTAGATTTAGCCTAAGAGCCCTAAGTCTTTTAGCCTTTAAAGGGTATCCGTTATTCTTTAGTTTAAGTAAAGGTCGATTAAGGGCACCTACGCCTCTACTTCGACTTAGTAGACTAAGGTCGCGCGGTAGGTACCTATTACTACTTAGAGGTAGGCTAACTAGTCCTAGGTAAGGTCCTACGCGATTCCGTATAGTTTCCCCTTTATAGGCATTATCTTATAAAATATAACTATAGCGTAGGAGATTAGGGACTAGATTACCTTACTATAGACTTCCCTAGCGCGTAGTAGGGTATAGCCCTACGTAGACGCCGTAAGCCTAGTTAGGGCTATAGTCTAGCGCTTTAACTTCGCTTAGAGTTATTTTAGGTATGCCTTTTAGCGTAGTTTCCGGTATACCTAAACCCTTAGTAGGCGGGCCTCTTAGACCGGGGTTACTACGTTGGCCCTAAGGCGTACCGGCGTCGTTATCGCTTATCTCCTTTATATAAAGTATATTAATTCGCTCTTTAACGGTTCGAAAGTAACCGCGAACTCGGTCGCTTATTCCGCGTATACCCTCTAGGCTTCCTTTAAGCGTGCTACTATAGTAGCCTCGTTAGGTCCGATACTAACTATATTTATATCGTCGGTAAAGCTAATAGTATAAATACTATATATTATACTAAGCCTTTTATATAAGGGGGTTATATAGTATAGAAATAGGATCGGGGATAAAGGGGAGCCTTAAGGGACTCCCGTTAGTACTTAAGTTAGCTCTAAGGTCTTCCTATTAAAGTAAAGGGTCGATCTCCTATTACTTAT